CTTTCATATGTCGTAACTCCAGCAGTCCATCAATTTGTCTTACATTCCATCTTTCCAAGCACAACAATAGCTTAACAATGGTATATATAGAGAGCGAATTAAACGGACGCCTGGATGTCGAACATTTCAACTCAAATGATGAGAAATAGTTGCGAGTATTACACTCTTCCCCGGTCTAAAACATGAGCTTGGTCAACCATATACTTACCAAAGTGGATGGTGAGACATATTTAGAAGCCATTTCTGAATTTCATAAACTAGTAAGTATGTGTAGTCTTCTTCGTTTTGCATTTTCATCTAACACTTATTATTTAACGATTGCCTTTCAAATGCACTGACGGCTTCACTGTTCTATCTGTAACATTATATGGCACACATTAAGTTACTGATGATTGCGAGAATAATGTCAGGTTGACTTCTCTGGTAAGGTGGTCTTGATTTGAAATGTCGGATGACGCATAAAAATGATATTGACGCAAAATAATTTTTAATTCAGTGTATATTGAAGTGTATATTGAAATAAAGAAAGAAAGGGAAGTAAAGAAAGGGAATGGGAAGGGACTACAAATATCATTGCGGATAGGTGAAAGTATCACGATAAGAAAAAGTCAGCAGGATAATTCATTGCAGATCATCTTTCGAAAAGTGGGTATCCAATGCTGAGTTTGTTAGGCGTCTAATAACAACCAGGACGTTCAGTTGTATAGTTAGCCCCGCCTGAGCTTGAGCATTGGCTCAAGCTTATACTTCTCAATGAGTAAAAGGGTATCCCTGGTTGTAACAGTAGTGTCTTTCAAAAGCCCGTTAAGGCAGCGGTCTACTTCCGTGGCCGGAACAGCAAGCGCATCGCTACCCAAGTTTAAACGACCGGAAGTATATCCAATACCCATACAAATGGCATCACGCCAAGCTTGGTACTCTCGATGAGATCGATCTTTTTCAACTTGCGTTTTGTCCGAAAAGTGAAGTTGGACATGAGCATCTCCACGACTAAGATGTTTGCGAACTATAGCCAAACTTTCTTGTCGGTCGGTCTCACCAAGAGTGGCCAATAGTACGATCACGCAACTCAAGTACTGTTGAGTACTATGTCCGGTATCAGCGCTTAAAGCCAATGCGCAACCTTGTTTACGTAGCCAATGGCCATGATTGATCATTAACAGATCTACAAGCACAATACCTCCAGTTCTTGTTTCGAAAATTTTAGCTAGGATATCTTTCATCCAGTCACGAAAATTTGGTCGGATATGGTCCGGCCAGTCAGTCCACGATATAGCTTGTAAGTATCGCTTAAGAGCGTGCACGGCTTTGGGGGGTATATCGAGAACCAATATGGTAGCACGGGCTACCACGTCTGGTACGTGCTGCATGTTGTTATGATATTTGAACTGAAGAGGATCGAAACATGCGGGCCATGTCAGATTGAAAAGCTGGTATATCACACGGAAGGCAGAAGCTACTTACATGTCTCAAGCGCAATCCTAAAGCAAAAGATGGCAATGCTTCTTGCTTGCTATGCCCACTAACTGAAATGAAAAGGATGAAGAGAAAGATCAGCTGAAATCGGCATATTTTATACTTTTCTGCTAAGGTTGATGTTGTATGCACCCTTCTCAATCAAGAATAAACGTTGGATGTTTTATGCACACTTCTCAATCAGGCAATGTAGGTTTGCTGTCAAATTTTTTTTTCCATGTTTCTGGCCCTCATTCCCAATTTTGGTGGCGAGCTACAAATCGAACTCTACCATTATAAACAAATGTGGGACATTCAATCCAAATTAGGGACGGTTGGTGAGAATAAAATACTGCAATTTATTTACGCGTGGAAAGAAGGTGTAGATAGGCTCGCAGCAACTTATATCCAACAAGTATGAAGCGAGGGCAAACCTTTTACGCCATCGTTGGGCCTTGAATGAAAGGCTGGCGGACAATGCTTATATACATTGTAATAACTATCTCACTCGTATGGCAATAATGCGTAAGAGAACGAGTTTTTGATGAGACCAATTTTTCAAATGTATGTAGCACTTTTATAGTAAAAAGAAATGGATAACGTTGGACTAACGAAGTTTTTTTTACATCGAAGTCAGTAAGACTTGATAGCAGAGCATTAATGATGATCCTTCGAGGAATGGCTATATAGTCTTCTACGTTTGTATTCCCATCTAACCTTTATTATTTAGCGATTGCCTCTAAATGCACCGATACCTTTACTATTTTATCTGTAACATTGTATGGTTTAATCTGTTTCTCCTGCTATACATTAAGTTACTGATGATTGCGGTCATAATTTCAGGCTGACTGCTCTGATACGGTGGTCCTAATTTGAAATGTCAATGATGCACAATCATAATGGCATTGTAGCAAAATATTTCAAATCAACTTTATATTAAAGAATAAAAAGGAAATGACAAAGAGGTTACAGATAAATTACTGATGGATGTACAGAAAGAAAAAGTCAGCAGGATACTACATCGCAGTATCATCTTTGGAAAATCTAGGTATCCAATGCTGAGTTTGTTAGGCGCTCGCAGCAATGTCCCAAGAGATATAAAGCAAAGAAGATTCCAAGAGAAAGAAGAAAAAACTTATAAAATGAAGAAAGTCGACATTAGAAGTCGATTGAGGTTCTCATCCTCTAGTAACAGCAAGGAAGTTCAGTTGTTTAGGTAGCCGCGCCTGAGCATTGGCTCAAGTTCGTACCTATCAATGAGCAAGAGTGTATCCTTGGTTGTAACAGTAGTGCGCTTCAAAAGCCCGTTAAGACAGTGATCTACATCCGCGACTGCAACAGAAAGCGCATAGCTATCTAAGTTTAATAGACCAGAAGCACGTAGAATACCCTCACAAAGGGCATCACGCCAAATTGCGTACTCTCGACGAGCTCGATTTCTTTCAGCTTGAGTTTTGTCCAAAAAGTGATGATGGACATGTTCAAATCCCTTGTCAAGATGGTTTCGAACTTTTTCCAATTTTTCGGATCGCTGGGCCCTAGGAAGAGTCGCCAATAGCACAATAACGCAATTTAGGTACTGTTGAGTACTGTGTCCGGCATGAGCGCTCAAAGCCAATATGCAACCTTGTTTTCGTCCCCAATGGCTATGATCGATTATGAACAGATCTCCAGGCACAACATTTCCTGATACTGTTTCGAAGACCCTAGCTAAAATATCCTTCACCCAGTCGCGGGAATTTGCTCGGATATGGTCCGGCCAGTCAGTCCACGTTATAGCTTGACTGTATCGCTTAAGAGCGTGCACGACTTCGGGAGCTTTGTTGAGAATCAATATGATTGCCTGAGCTATTCCAACTGATGCATGGTCCATGTTGTTAAGATAGTTGAATCGAAGTGAACTGCAACATGTGGACCATCTCAGTTTGAAAAGTTAGCATGTAAGGGGAGGCAAAAGCTACTTACATGTCTCGAGCGTAATTCCAAGCAAAAGAGGGGAAATGGTTACTGCTCACTATTACCACTGACAACTGAAAATGAAAGGATGAAGAGCAAGACCGACTTGAGGTATCATGGCACTTATAACCCTTTTATTTTTAGGTCTGGGAAGGTTCGAATGGATGATGATGATGATCTTCGCTGTCTTGCTTCAATTTCATGAACGCCATGTTTTATTCGTTTAAGACAATGCTTGTCGTCTAGCTTTATAATTCTGGTAATTGACAACTTCTATGAAATAAAATGCTCCTTCATAGTCGAAAATTTAATTATCGGTTAAATGAGGATGGATCGAAAAATTTTGCAGTTTATGTGCATTGACATGTCCACTCACCAGCACAAAACGGCCTAGTACCTATTGCACATATGTTTTTCATCGATTCATCCGACTCGGCTGCGTTACCTTCCTTTTTCGAATTTGTGGATTTGTCGTGAATCTCCGAAAATCTGCATCTAATTCCCCATTTTATGTCTATGGGAATCTTTCATAATTGTGATATTAAATCCCATTTCATTGTATATGGGATTCTTGGTTCCATTTTAGGGATATACTTGATCAAGTTTATGCAGGTTTCTTGAACCCCTCCCCCTTTAGATCCTATTTTGTTTCCCTCAACCGATTAGTATCTCGAGTACTGCTCACGCTGACCTGTCATTTAATCCTTGAGTGAGCTTCTGTGAATAAGGTATTGCAATTTATTTACGCATGGAAAGAATGTGTAGATAGGCTTGCAGCAACCTATATCCAAGTAGATATGAATCGGGGGCAAACATTTTACGCCATCGTAGGGACCGGAATGAAATGCTTGACGGACAATACTCTATCCACATTATGATGTACATTCTTTTTGGCGATCAGAGGTAAAGGAAAGGGCTCGGAAGATGCTTAAGTTTGTTCCAATATCGAATGGTTGAGACTATATTAAGTGCGCAGCATAAACAACGCCAATTCCTTTAACGAGGATTAAATTGCTCTTAAAAAATGAAAGTGCGACTCAAAGCTTACTTGAATGGATGTTTTCTTTTTCGTTTTCGTCTCTACACTTAGTATAAACATGTCGAGTTGACTGATAACAATGGCTTACTTGCTTAGGGAGCTCTCGAACTACTTCATCCGACACACTGTAAGGAAAGCAGCAAGGAGCTTGTTACGCCTCACGTAAATTAC